AAAAAAAAAAAACAATTTATCATAAACTAAAACATAATAATAACCTTAATAACCTGAACAGCATTACGCTGCAATTTGCATCCATTTTTTATATACAGACGTGGCATACAATCGGTTGTATAACTCCTTGATGATACTGTTTGTGCAAGTGCCAACTCTAGACAAGAATCCAGCGATTCGCTTTCTCTGTATAGCATTAAACGTGTCCAGCCTCGCTTCTGTGAACATACCCGACGCACTACAGTGCGGGGCTAGACCCATTAGCTGTCTGAAGATGTTATTGTACTGGACACGAATACCATCCAGAGACCTCCTCGTGTAACGAGTCCAAAGTTGGCACGTGTAGAAACTTTGACAGTACGTTCTAAATAGGTGAACTTTCGTCTGGGCATTGGCTTTAAAGAATCTCCTAGCTATCATATTGCCAACGACTGACAATGCCCTGCGTTGTCTGTCTATGTCAGCGTCGTCCTTCATATCTGACGTCAGCATGTGACCAAGGTACCTGAAACTTTCTACTATTCTAACAATCTGACCTCCTAGCCAAACTGGTGGGACATTACGTGGACCTCTTCCTGATCTGAATATAAGCATTTCAGTCTTCTTCGCGTTATATACTAGATTATGTTCTCGCGCATATTTCTCACAAATCGCCAATAGTCTTCTTATACCCTTGATTGAGGGGCTGAGCAGAACCATATCATCAGCGTAACTCAAGTTGTTGACATACCTATCACCAAGCCTAAGCCCAACTGCCGTCCCACTCAGCTCCTCAATCAAGTCATTCATGTAAACATTAAATAGATCAGGAGAGGTTAACCCACCTTGTCTAACGCCACAAGACAGCCTATAGCTCTCCGACATCGCAGTCTCCCACCTGACATTGTTAGACTGATTAGAGTACCAGTATCTAATCAGTCCAACAATCCCAGCTTCAACTTTCAACCTATCTAGTTTCCTCCATAGCAAGTCGTGATTAATTGTGTCAAATGCGCGGCTCAGATCAAGGAAACAAGCATAAACGCTTGTATCCTGTTCCACATACGTACGTACATAAATAAATAAATCACTTGGAAATTGCGTGATTTAAATTACAATTTGAAGGAAAGGCTCTGTGCCTTGTGCTTTGTTTGTTGGTCTTTTCTACATTGGCTCAAAGTAGGTATATCTGGTTAAATCACGATTAATTTTGTCTCAAAAGTTAGACTGCTATTTTCTGAAAATTAGCTAAAAGTCAGCCTATCATTTAAGGAATAACAACTAATTTTATATAAATATAACTGCTATCTCATTTGTCGAGAGATTGGGTTCGATTCCTGGGTCGGACAAAGAATATCCTCCGGTGATAAAAAAGCATGACGTTATACTTGAGTATGTGGTAAATGGTATAACCACTGAATACCAATCACTGATAAAAACAACAACCTTCGAGACGTCAAAACATCAATCAAGCATTTCAGACGTCAAATTCACCAAAAAATATAAGCTTAGAACCCTGTTACTATTATTTTAAATTATGTAGTTTTTCTCGTAGCTAAGAATGAATTATTAAGTAAGTACTTAGGTAGAATTTGTCTAAATTTTTTATGCCGAAACAGATTCTATTGAATTCGTTTTGCTACGTTGACCTCAGCGACCTCTACATTGTTTTTGATTGACGCTGTCAAAAGTGACAGTGAAAACAAGATGGTAGATCCTCCCAAAATTCTTGACGTAAATACATGAGCTATTGTTTTCCTTTTGTCAAAGTAATTTGAGGTCATTGCCAATAGGTATGCGGTGCAGAATACAATGTTAGGAATCCTTCAATTGTTTATTGTTGAACTTAATTTAGACTTCTTGGTTTTCATTAAGGATATCATGAGTTATCACGTGTTTATTCTTGTAGCCTTTGAAGTTTTGCAGTAAATTCGGGTATTTCGGGACTATTTTGTGGATTGATCACATGTTTTGCCGATGAATATGACATGTGAAGCTCATTACTACGTAGGCCAAAGTGAAATCAGATCTATTCGTTGAGAATACTTTATTAGGTGTGGGGGAGTCATGCTTCGGCACGAGTGGGCCGGCTTCGCGGCGTGATACGTAGTGATACCTCGGCCTCACAGAAAACCGACGTGAAACAACGCTTACGTTGTGTTTCGTCGTGTGAGTGAGGTTACCTGAGGCCCAATTACTCCTCCCCAGTCTTCTCAATCCACCATAATTCCCAAATTACCAATCCTCAAAAGGCCGGTAACTCACTTGTAACACCTCTGGTGTTCCGGGTGTCTATTGTCGGCGCCCGCCGATTGCTTACCATCAAGAGATCTGTCAGGACGTTTAAGATTTAAGCATTAAAATTATCCTTTATTACATAAATGAGCCTAATAGCATAACTGCGGCGACATATTTCAATCGGTGCAAGACCTCAATAAGATAAGCTCAGTATTATAGGAGATATTGTAGTCTATAACATACTAAGATAACCGACGTAGATTGATTATTAATATGAATGCTTGGTTACCTATATTGGCGGCGAGCCAATCACTGTTTATCGATTTGTATTATAAACTAAATTACTTATGTAGGTATTGTAGGTATAGGATCTAAGAGAATGTATTTCATAGACGAAGATATTAATAATGTCTAGAGACTAAAAGCTATTTGAGTAATTTCGTGTCGAATAGTGTGAGATTACCTAATCTAGTTGTCTGCATATATTTTTTTTTACTTAATGTTTGAGTTATTACTATAAGTCAAAGTAAAAGCATTTATTTCAACTAAAACCTTAATTAGACACTTTTGAAACGTTAAAAATTGAATTGTCCGTCTGTCCGTCTGTCAGTAAAGCTCGGCGCTCGTTCCAAAGTGTAGTTTAGAATAGAGAAGAACGAGCAAGAAATTCCATCGTTACTATGTATGCTCGTTACTATGTCTCCATAATATGTACCTATAGTAGGATATGTAATAGGTTCCGGATTCCTTTAAGTAGAAATGACTAAGTTGTTATCGGATTTTCTCAAGAATAGAATGGAATTTGAAATAATGCCCGGTACTTGGTAGTACGTGCACCCCTGATTCCATGGGACTGTTACAAGTAAGAACGGGTGTTACGTTGTGTTTGTGCCTCTCTGCTTATACTTACCCCTTAGAGTAGATAGGTATGAAGAGTCGTGGAATTAAGGATAAATTACTAATTCGACTTCAATTGCATGGTTTGCATGGGTGGCAACTGGCTGCCGTGCAACGAATAGCGGGTTCGATTCCCGCACGGAGCAACTCTTTGTGTAATCCATTGTTGTTTCGGGTCTGGGTGTGATGTGTATATGAAAATGTATGTTTGCAGACGCACCCACGAAAAAAATGGAGAAAATCCAAGCGTGGGACAATTTTTTTTCTAATTTTGACTGAAGGCTAACGATATCGTTAACTATTGTTAACATTTTGCGAACAAACAATGGAAGAAACAGATAAAAAGCGAAAAATCCTTACAAATAGACATCAATCCCGCTGGATATCCCAAAGTCGTTCTATTGTCTTCAGCCATACTGGTATACGGCGCCAAAAATAGAAACACATTGGCACACAACACAAACTTTAACATTTTCACTAAATAATTATAATACACGTTAAACAAACAGTCAAAAACAATAAGAAAATTATTCTAAACTTGGTTCAAATAATACTTTGTGTCAACATTCGTAAAAGTAAATTAATAAAACTATTTCATTTGACATATTAGTTTTCGCGCGTAAATTTTAGTAATGGCGGCGGGCAACAGCCACGCGCGTGTACAGCCTCTTTACTACTGGCCCCGGTTGGATTACCAAGGAGGTTTTACTTTTATGAGAGGGCACAAGAAGTCTGTTGTTGTGAAAAACTAAGGAATTTTTGCGATTATCTTAGAGATAGTTAGTTGTCCTTCACGTGTTACACGCACTTAATGTATTAGGTAGTTTGTTTTTATAAATTTTTTATGTTATCGTTGAGAAAACCCTTTTTTTGATAAACATTTTTTAGTTTGTAGTGCCATTGAGTAAGTAAGGCTCTGATTCATCCATGAATTTTGGAATATTATCCTTGTCAAATCGAGCATCGAGCTCAAGTTTAAAAATTAACCGTGATAAAATATCCTAAATGAAATAAGCACTTAAGTAAAAAAGGATAAAGCCAATTTTGTTAGTAAGTACACTATGGATACACATAGTTTTATCAGTTGCTCAAGATGTGACTGTGAGTCAAGTTTCGTAAAAGGTTACTACGGTCAAATGGTAGTTGCACCGCTTTTACCAGATCCAAGTTAAACAACGTTAGTGCACGATTTTGTTCCTGTTTACCTAATATTATAATCTGATCTTCAGTAAAGGACGGTGCAATAACAATACCTTTTGCATTTACACTAACAATATACATTAAGGTACTTATGAAAGCGTGGCGATAAAACCTTCTCCGTGCGAGAAAAGTCCTTTGGTCGTCAGTGGTCACTAATAGGCTGTTAATGTGCTGTTAATTTATATAAGTCCACGGAATATGGAACACGGAAAAACAATTGTGAACTGGTACCCCTGTAGTCAAAGAAAGAACGAAGTAACGTTTACAGCGTTTGTGTCGACACAGGCGGAGCTGACGGTGATCTCCGGTATGGTAAAATATAATAAGGTAAGATTCTTACACTTCCTGGTAATTTTATCTTAAAGGGCTTGTGCAGCACAAGCCTTTTTATGTAGCTAGAAGAAATGAAAAAAGGGCGTGTACAGTTAGAAAGTTATTTTTACATGAGATCAAATGTTAAGACTATGCAAGGTTTTGACTAGGCAACATTTGATATGAAATTATTTTTGATGGGTCAGTAATGTAACGACAATAAAAAATAATTGATATATTTTTATTATCTTAAGTTTAATACATAATTGTGTTTAAAAGTATATATTTTTCTTCATCGCTTAAAATCTTCATAATACCTAACGTACTCTCTTGACATTTCATAACACATATAGGTAGATAATCAGTCTTTAAGTGAGACACAATAATAAATGAAGACCATGAGATGAAAGCAGTTTAAAAGTTTCATTCCATCATAGGTTTTTTTTAAGGGGGGAAAATCATCGAATGACTGCTCCCGCCTGGGTGAGGCGGGAGGGAGTGTCAGACTCTTACTGACTAAAAACCACCCCGTTCCTTCTCCTGCATGTAGAGCCAGAGCCCTGGTAACCCGTTAGGTTCTCCGCGACTCAATCATAGGTTAACACAGCACTGCTGCTGTCCGGTCGCTATCAATAGTCAAGTCTTTTAGTTGGCTTTTACGGCATCCGTGGCAAAGAGGGAGTCATAAAGTGAAACCTGACTTTCAAAGGTGCTGATGGATTTTTGTATTTAACTTTAATCATAGTCTGTGGTGCTCTGTGGTCTCTAGAACCCCATGGAGTTCTTTGTACAACGACCTTTAAAGATCTTCTTCTTCTATATCTATCTCTATCTTCTAAGATCTTTACCCATCTTTAAAATCTCAAAGGCATCTGATATTGGCAATCTTCACAATCAGGAACCACTTTAGTCTTGAAGATTCCTCCCTTGCATGGGTACTCTCCTTTCCTGGGATACTCTCCCTTCCTGGGATACTCTTGATGCTTATCAGGTTGGAACCAAGGTTTGTGGAGCTTGTTCAGCATCGTCAGCTCGTACTGGTGAAGATAGTCCAATGGAGCTGGTGATACGATGTGGAGGGTGGCAGTGACGATAAGAATTGGTATCTGGAATTGAAGGAGAATTAATTTTAAAAAAACACGGTATATAGGCGTGATACGTCATATAATTTGATTATCTAAATTGCATGTCCGAAATTTGATACGTACAATTTTGAGAGAACATGTGCATGGGTTTTACACAAATTAATATTTCATTGATAAGTTAAAACGAGGGATTTTCCTTATATTAAATAACGTATATATATATAGAGGTATATATATAGACGTAATTTTAAATATGTTATTTCTCGGATGGATAACCCGTTGACTTACAACGAATCATTGTGATAGTTACAATTGGGATGATGACAGGGTATGAAAATTAAAAATTTTATTAGTCCGTAAGTTAGGTAATGTAAAAATATTAGATACGTATTTTTTATTTTGTTTTATAATAAAATGATACTTAGATATAACGAATCAAAGTTTAGGACTGGGGGCTAAAACGTCATTTCTACGTAAAAAAGGTACATAGAAATGACGTCACGCGACATTTCAAATCAATATATCGTCGAAAGTATTCGTTTCTGTAAAAAAATAAAAAGTACGTGTCTAATGATTTAAAATAATCTACCAGACGTAGTCGTAGTAGTACGTCGTTGATCTCAATTTTTCAGCTTTGACTGCCTTATAGAAGGACATAGAAAACGTCTACCCCAACAAGATCAACAAACGGTGAAATGGCCTGCTGATTATTCATTATAATATAATAAATTATGGTGTCAAGCAACATTTCCTTGGAAGTTTATCATTGAAGACATCTATCTAACGATAATTAAGTACCTATTATGAGCCCTAGGCAAATGTTCACACGATAATTTCATTTACACATTCGCAACTGGCTGTATCTATTGTTCATTGATTTTTAATTAATTGACTTGCCAAAAAATGATTAATGTTTAATTTTAGAAATGAAGGATATTCTCACGTAAATATGGCAGGTTTTCATAACAAAAACGACACATAACATAACATCACGCCTTTTATCCCTGAAGGGGTAGGCAGAGGTGCACATTATGCCACTGCACAATGTAACACCCACTTTTCACTATTTATGTTATGAGTCCCATGTAATAGGGGGTGAGCTTATTGCCATATATCGGGCACAATTCCAGACTCCGTGCTTCTACTGACAATATTTAAAACCCAGTAATACTTTGCCCGACCCGGGAATCGAACCCGAGACCCCTTGCCCGGCAGTCGCACTTACGACCACTCGGCCAAAGAACAAAACGAAATTATAATTTTATGAAAAAAACGTATGGTAAGTGGAAAAAAATACATGTTCTATCGACACTAAGTAACTTGAGATAAGGACTGGAAGAAGAAACAGATAAAATCGATTTCGATACAATTAGATACAGAAGTAGATAGATGAGACTTTGATCTTTGGAAAGACACTAATATATTAACCCACTAATATATTATATACTTAAGTACTTACCTATATTCCGAACAAATCAATAAATATGTAAAAAAAATAAATGTTAAGCAAATGTAATTTATAATAATCGACCTCATCGTTCGCTTGATAAAATTGACGTGTAAAAGTGCTGCCTTGTAGCCTATTTGCAGAAATAAATTCACTTGTTTCACAATAAGCTAGTGACAGCCCAAAAATTTGCAACGCCTGAAAAAGGCCGTTAAGCTGAGCCTGTTATTTCATTTAAGACCTGTATGTATTACCTTAACCTGCAAATAAAGACTTTGAGTATGAGTTTGAGTTTGAAGAACAGAATTTAAGTTTCCATCCAAAATAACAATTACACGCGGATCGACCTCTACAGCAAGTAAGAAAATGGAACTTACCAGAATATTCATGGCTGCGTCGTTGTTCAGTATAACATTAGATTCATATAATTTCGCTTTAAATACACGACGCACCGCACAGCGTCCCAGATCGGATGTTTGTATGCTGCTAGCCCCGTTATCTGACTGATATTAAAATACGTGCTAAAGGTATAGCCACAATAAATGTCCGGTTTTGCCAACATGTGTCCAGTTTTTTATGGGTAACGAATCAATTGATGGTAAGCGATCAGTGCCGCTTATGTTATACCCTCGACACTAAAAGACTCACAACTTTACAATTTATGAATTCACACGTTAAGAACATCGAAGAATTTAAAATATGATTGTAATATTGTTAGGTATGAAGCGTGTCGCGGAGAACCTAATGGGTTACCGAGGCTCCGGCTCGACGTGCAGGAGAAGGAACGGGGTGGTTTTTAGTCAGTAAGAGTCTGACACTCCCTCCCGCCTCACCCAGGAGGGAGCACACATTCGATGATTTTCCCACCTTAAAAGAAATGAAGCGTAATTTTTTGCGGAATAGCTGTTTAATTAAAAAAGTAAAAACAATCTTTCGATATTCCTTAGAAAAATATATTATAATCCAAAATTTAAATTATAAATGGGAAGTAGATGGAGCAATAATAATCAACAAGTCACCACCCGACACTGGCAGTATAGTCGACAACATCGTATTAGAGACTCGGTTGCCAAAGAAGAAAAAAAAAAAATCAACAAGTCAAAAAATATCTAACTGACAGTCGTCTACTTATTTTATAGTTTAGTAAGTTATTTCAAAATAGTTCAAATAATGAAGAGATCAGGGTTGAACCGTTAACAACTTGTCTATTACAACATAGAATATTACTTTCAACATTTGAAAGTTTCTGTGATTAATCATTCATTTTTACGCAATGCTAGCATTAGTAGGTATCACAAATATCAAAATTATCATAAACAGCGCCTTATGGAGCACTAATAGATTATATTGGCTTCCTCTCCGTATCAACGTTTATGTACCATAATCTATCGGCGAGGTGTAAATGGCAGTTTAAAAAGTATAGATTTATCTTTATTTTTGTCTATTAAATGTGTAGTCCCTTAGTCGGTTTTTATATAACAAAAATGTTAAACATAAGAATATTAAAAAAACCACTGTCAATAGTGTGGCCACACCTTAACAGTATCCGAAGAGACATGAATGAGTGAATGAGTCAGGATTATCCAAACAAAACATTTGAT